GTTCTTGATACAACTTTTTGCGTGGACTAAAAACGTAAACTTGGTCAATCTTATGCTCAAGGTTCATTGGTACCTACATTTGGACCTGCACGACTATGAGTGAAGTTGACGATGACGTCCACCAGGTATTTCCTTGGTCATCCTTTCACCTAAGATTGGTGAACCAACTATTAATAAATTGAGTTTGATTGAGTCTGCCCAGAAGAATAGGCTCATTTGGGGAAGTTTTAATTTGTACCAAACAGAAAAGGCAAGCGCAAGCTATGTAATATTGGCAAAATTTTTCAAAGCTTCCCCGTATGCAAAGCTGCGGGGGCCCTTGCTAGTGAAATATGTACATAATTCATAATTTTTTCTAAACTTATTATCATAACTCGATTTCTTTTATTCAAAGGGCATCCACAACTCTTGCTTTTAAACTACAAAAACCACTGCAGAATCCTGCATAAAAATCAATCATTTATGCCGCCAACTTTTCAATGAAGGCACAAAAATTGATTTTGATCAGCTAATTGACCAAAATAACAGGACTTTCTAAAAATAGAATGACAAAAACGAATTTTATTTATTTTGATGCAATTTCAATTTTTCCGCAGTGGAGTGCACACACAAAATTAAAAAATCTTAAATTTATTATAAAACGCTGTTAAACCAAAAACTATTGGAATGGATATTGTATATAATGGTATATACTTTTTTTGTAGAGATAAATATATAAATAACTTGTGCTGTGTTTCGTGTAAATCTTTGTTAAAAAAGTGCGTATTTTTAGTTCGTATATGTTGTGCGTTACAATGTTTATGTAAAGTTTTAAGTATTTCCCCCGGTTGCCCCCAAATGAAATGTATGTGCCGTTATTTACTAATATTTAAAGATTGTCAAAATGTTTACTTCAGCTGCGGAAGCCTGCAGATGCACATTTGCCATTACAAAATGCACCCTAACCTTATCTTCCAGTAGCTCTATCTAGGAGGGAAGCACGTTTTTCTTCTGTGTCTGTTATGTTGTTGTTGCCATTTTAATTTCTTGTACTTTCGTTTTTCGCTTTGTGTCTTATGTTTTAAGATTATTTTTTCGTTTAATTAGTTAATTCTTTTGCAAGGTACTCATAGTCAATGCGAGTATTCTCGAAAGCATATTTTTAAAATTTGGCTTAAAGAATGCGGTACTCTTGCCCAAAGAACTAGAGATGTGTTGGATGCCTTAATTAAGGACATACAAAATAAGGGATATGAGCCGGATTTGGAAGATTTGCAAAAACAAATAAACTATGTTTGTGGAAGAATGCAAGGCCATCATCGACTCGATATTGCAGACCAATCCGGTACCAATTTAAAAAGGGGACGACTCAGCTCTGCCTAGATGAAAAAGCGTATTTCGAATACAATATTGATAACCATAAAACTAGCAAAGTTGAAATACAAAATACTATGCAACTTGCCATGGTTAATGGTAAAGTTTGTAATGAATTAAGTGAAACAACATCCACAAAATGCTACATATGTACAACAGAAATGAACAACCTAGAAGTTTGTTTAAAAAAGAAGCTCATGAGGAGCAATTTGAGTTTGGACTGCCACCGCCTCATGCGTGTATTCGATTTTTTGAATATTTGCCTCACCTATCGTACAGATTGGACGAAAACGTGTGGCAAATTCGATGCCAAGAGGCTAAAGATAAAATTTCATCGAGAAAAAAATTTATTCAAGATGAGTAATCCTGAAAGATCTGCGGACATAACGGGAATTGATAAGAATTTAATAATTAGAGTCGCAGCTTTGTTTTAAGCGCTATCTTCGGGCTACAAAATAAATTCAGCAAAATTTGGCAACTATGCTCTAGAAACCGCAAAGCAGCTGATTGATCCCTAGTTTTACCTCCCCCATCGGTTGATAAAGCTTAACTTGAATCTCCTGATATTATAAAACATTCTTTTTTATCAATTGGAGAGCTTTCTGCAGAAGCCGCTGAGACGAAAAATAAATATTATGTTGCTTGGTAATGACATACCGGTTTCTTTATTGATTTTTGACGACAATTTTAACATACATAGTTAGCATTGTCCGAGTTAAGTGCTATATGTACCGTTGTCCTTGTCCCTACTGGCAAAAAACTCGGCGATTCGATTTTCACAATCCTCCCTTGAACTCAATTTTTGTCCATCGAAAAAAATTTGCATGGCCAAAAACAGATGGTAATCGCATGGGGCAATGTCGGTGGATGCATTAACACTTCCCAACCAAGCTCCCCTAGCTTGTAACGCGTCACCAAAGATGTTTTGGGCCTGGCGTTGTCATGATGGAACACAACACCCTTACGATTCACCATGGCTGGCCGCTTCTGTTCAAGTGCAATCCCTGTGCGAAATAAAATTTTAAAATTGCCCGAATTTCTGCGCTTGTGAACTCCATATTAATCGATTGTAATTTTTTAACATGGAAGCTCATGTAAACCAACTATATTTCAATACCAATACCTTTCAAACGATATACAGCATTGCCAGATACGATTATATTTGACTTCACAAGCAAAGCGCGAAATTTGAATGTAAAAACCGATATGTCATTACCAAACAACCTAATATTTGACTTCAAAAGCGAAGCGCGAAATTTGAATGTAGAAACCGGTATGTCATTACCAAACAACCTAATATATTAATTTCGATTGCACCATACGCGCAAAATTTCATGAGTCGCCTTAAATACAGATTTATTTAACAGATTGCTTTTAAGCGCTAACCCATTTATTAGTGAGCAAAGAGAAATTACTTTTATCCAAAAATTACCGCTACTAGAAACAACCATTTAGTTACTAAATAAACAATTTAACGATTATGTATATGATTTTGTAATATTGTTCGTTTTCTACTTAAATATATTAAACTATTTTTTTGTTATCATAACTATTTTGAGGAGTTGCTTAACTAATCACAATATTTTTGTATTATAGTTCTATGCTTGTAAATTTACTTACAGTAGAAATATTAGCCTGATCTGACCATTAGAAGTGATTTTATGACTGCTCTCTCATAAAAGCGCCACCACTGATGCAATCTTTCCTATGGAAGCTATAGGATATAGTTGCACGATCCGGTATATTTTTAAACTGTTTTATTAAACTGTTTTATTTAGGTCACACTAGGGTCAAAATTAGAAATTGTAATTTAAGTACCTTCCTGTTGTCAGATTGATCTGAAATTTGGTACAAATCTTCAGTTCCGATGACAATACAATATAGTAATGTCAATAACATTGTAAATCCAAGATGGCGGCCGCAAAGTGGCGGATAACGTAGGTTCTATCAATCCCATCAATATGGGTATCAAATGAAAGGTCTCAACAAGTAGAATACAATGTACTATATAAAATTAAAATTCAAGATGGCGGCCTCTGTAAAATGGCGGATAACTTAGGTTTTGTCAATCCCATCAACATGGGTATCATTGTCACTGTCAAACACATCAGATTAATTCAGATCAGTCTGACAACAAACGGGGTAAGCTATATCTTATATATATAAAAATGAATCGGAGAATGTGTTGGTAAGCGCATAACTCAACAGCGCCTGGACCGATTTTGATGAAATTTTTTGTGTATATTCCAGGGGGTTTGAGGATGGTTTAGATTCACAATATGTTAAAATAATATTTTTTGTTTTATAAAGCAAAACGAGCTAAAGAAAGTGAAGTTGATAGAAACAAAACTGGAGGTTTACCAGCAGAACTGGAAATATTTGTGGGGGCAAAAGTCATGCTACGGTCCAATTTTGACGTTTCGAAGGGATTAGTAAATGGCGCTATAGGCTACATCAACAAAATCGTTTGGCCTCAATTTTGTCGAACTCAGATGTATGCAACAGATGTACCTTCCGTCCGAACTGATTTCGAAAAAGACGGAGTACATCTTATACACGCGAAAGCCATACATTTTCCAGCTAAGTACAATTACGGGACGACTGAGAGAAGAATGTTGCCTTTAATACTATCATGGGCTTCTACAATACATAAAATGCAGGGCAGCACTGTGGATCACGCAGTCGTATACTTAGGTGCGAAACTGTTTGAAGAAGGTCAAGCTTACGTGGCTCTTAGTAGAGTAAGATCTTTGCAGGGACTACGTATAGAGAAGTTGGACTGCAACAAACTAACGGGCAAGAAACCATGCAATAATGAAGCACTAAATGAATTAATCAGAATGCGAATTAAAAACTAATAAAAACTTAATCAAATTTGTTAAAAAAAAACTTTTTAATTTAAAAGGTTTTATGTTAAACATACATTGCAATGTTTAAGATAAATGTACTAATTATTGGACCTCTGGGGGCGTCGACCGTTTAAATGACTATTACTCGTGGGAACAAAATGGTAAAAAAAATATAAATAAAAATGCGAAATAAAAACTAAAAACTAGAAAATAAAAAAAAGGTAAAAAAATTTTTTAAGTTAAACCGTTTTATGTAAAACATGTACTAAATGTACTAAAAGCCTAAAAATAATATAAAATAGATACAGACGTGGGAAATTTAAACATATGCTTAGACTAGACTAAAATAAAACCGTGGGGCAAGTCAATTGTGTACAATCGTTGATTAAAATGTTTGTTTTCCCCACGGTTTTATTTTAGTCTAGTCTAAGCATATGTTTAAATTTCCCACGTCTGTATCTATTTTATATTATTTTTAGGCTTTTAGTACATTTAGTACATGTTTTACATAAAACGGTTTAACTTAAAAATTTTTTTTACCTTTTTTTAATTTTATTATATATTTATAATATTTTTCTAGATTTGTGGTGAAAGTTTTATAGCGATAGCACATCTAGAAGTATTTATGGTCGCGGTTCCATACAAGCCCGACCCCTGTGGAAGGGTAAGATGCCAGATAGGGTACCAGATAATAGGATACCTAAATTTTGTAAATTTAGGGGCACTCCGCCGGGACACTGGATTTAAGCATAATTGCTTATAACCTTATTTTTGTTTTGTCGAATATTATAATGACAAGGCGAAGATTTTTTAAAGATTTTTTAATAATATATTAATAGGCATCATTGTAAAAAAAGAAACAATTATCTTACGTTTTGCTAAAGTTTAAACTATGAAAATGATGCATTTCCACATTGGAGCACGTTAAAGCAAACGTAGCAAACTCTGACAGGTTTGTTAATGCCGAATTTCAAAATTGGTATGTCGTTACTGGAACACTTGGAGCATAGAACACGTCCACAATGCCGGCTTGAAAAACAGAACAGAATAAATCAATAACATTTATAGTTTTCGGTGTTGCAATACCTACCAATGGTGCTTTCGCATAGTAATTGTAAACCTTGTACTACACTCCTGGCATAAGTCGCACTCGGACCAAGGCGATTCTTGTGGCAATAGGTCCAACAACTTATAAAGTAATTGATCTGTAGCAAGCTTAAAATTAAAAATATTTACTCCATCATTGTTTTCAGCCCCAAGGCACGCCCCTGCTTTTACAAGTATTTTACAAAGTGGTGATTGGCCTCTCATAAAGGAAAGCAATAGCGGTGTATTTCCATCCATGTCAGGAAGGTTAATAGGATACTTTGGCATGCACTCGAGAAACAAATCGCAAATAAGTGCTGCTGTATTATCCTCCACGACGCGGCACAATTCGTGCAAAGGATTTCGACCCTTCAAATTGGTTGCTTCTGCGTTTACTCTTGATTCCGTTAAAAGTTCGCGTACAATAAAAAACTGACCGCACCGTACCGCGATATGTAAAGCATTGTTTCCCTCAGCATCCTTTGCATCGTAGTCAGCACCGTTTTGAATTAACGCAGAGACAGCAGAAAGGTTTCCGCGTTCTATGGCAATATGCAGAGGTAATTTTTGGACAGCATCCCGTTCATTCATACGCGCACCAGCCAAAATTAGATTTCTGGTAATCATTTCGTTATGTGATGCAGCCGCCAGGTGTAGGGGTGTAGACTGATTCACATCATGTACCCGAGAATTCACATCTACCTGAATAGATAACAAAAATAAGACACTTTCTAAGTCATCTTGCATAATTGCTATATGCAAAAAGTTTCGTCCGCGTTGGTCCATTTGCTCAGCTGCTGTAGGAAACCGATCTAAAATGTGTTGGGCGGTTTTGTGATTTCGGATACCCAAGGCGGCTGCAAAAGGAGTATTTCCAGCTTTATCACGTAGCTTTAGCTCTATAAGAGGATGACACAGAAGGATTGCTATTATCTCCTCATGTTGGTTTTCAATAGCTATATGAAGCGGGGATTTGTTTTCAGCGTCTAATACGTTAACATTAGCACCATGATCAATTAAAGTTTGAAGCACTTTGTTCAAGCCCCACTGACAACATAAGTGCAACGGGGAGGCTTTTCCCAGAGCAACATCTACACCTTCCCCATTCGGGCCAGGCTGACGGGCAGAGTCTAAGTCGCACTGACTTTGAACAAGAAAAATAGCAATTGATTCCTTGTTTTCATCAATTGCACGGTGTAAAAGGGTTTGTTGGAATCCCTCGGGTCCAGTATCCCAACAATCAGTGTCAACACCGTGCCGCACAAGTAACCGAGCCACTTCTTCATGTCCAAGCTCCAAAGCTGTCCATAGTGGTGACCCTGCATTTTTTTCTGAACTTAAGTCGACTCCTCTTGTACAAAGGGCATCCACAACTCTAGGAAGATTGTTTTTAATAGATAAATCTAATGCAGAATCCTGATTATCTATTTACAGAAAAAAAACAGTTAGAATAAGTTTAAATTAATTCTGAAACAATTTACCTGTGAGAGCTGTGAAATTAGCACCTTGCTGTATTAAAAATAAAGCGGTGTCACTGTCTTTATTTTTAATTGATTGATGCAATAGAGTCAGATTGTTCTTATTCTTTGCATTTACATCAGAGCCGCCCCGAATAAGAGTTTGTACCAGTTGTGTTCTATCAAGAGCTAAACATAGGCTTAGCGGGGATTCCCCATCAATATCTTTGCAGTTGAAATCAAGAACATCGAGGACTTCTTTTTTTATATCAACAAAAGCTTCCAAAGCATCAACAGCATTGGCTTCAACTGCCATATGTATTGCTGACTTTAAACCGTTTTGAACGGGTTGTAAATTGCATGAAGCCCCCTTAAAAATTAACTTTTTTACTAAGTTTGGTAAATTTTTATATGCCGCTATATGCAATGCTGTTAGCCCTTTCAAATTTATGTGATCAAGCAAGGCAAAATCTGACAAAAACATTGCTGCGTCCTCCCCTCGATCACCCTTCATTGCAAGCACCTGTAGTAGACTATCTCCTGTTTTAGACTTTACAGAATTTGGCAGTGCACCTTTATTTAACAGCATTGAAGCTATTGTGAAGTTTGGAACTTCCAGTAACAAACTAAGTTCCAATGCACACTTTTCGTCGAAAGTACGCAAGTTTATATCAATATCTGGCACTTCTAGCAAACACTTTACCATTTCACAATTTTGACTTGCGATGGCTATATGCAAAGGCGTTTCTCCTTTCATGTTTTGGATATTAACGTTTGGATTTTTTTTTAAAATTGTTTTTCCTACATCTAATATTTCGGAAATAATTTCAGGGTTGTTGTGAACATAATTACATATAATATGTAAAACGGTATCTTTAAATGGTCTGAAAAAAATTAAAAATAGTTTATTTTATAAATTTTAATTAAATTCACGTAATTACTGAGATATAAGGTCTAAAAGACAGTTTTGTTCCAAGAGAAAGTGTGCAGAAAACGTGTCACCATTTCTTATAGCAGATATTAGCAGCGTAGATCCCTGTTAAAAATAACATTTAGCTTACTTCAATCCAGTATTTATCCATACCTCTATATCAACAGCATTTACGTCAGCCATTCCAGTTTTCACGAGAGTGTTAGCAATTTTGACGTTTTTCGCGGATAAAGCGATCTGAAGAGGTAAAAGTCCGTCTTCAGAAAAACTATTAACTAGTTTTGGAAGCTGGAAATAATATAAAAATATAGCTGATAATTAATTTTATTACTTTATTAAAAGCATAACCAAAAATACTTTTAACTATGTTCTTTCATTACACCCTTGCAGAGCAAAAGGGTATTCTAATTTTAGTCAGAAGTTTGCAACGCAGTGAAGGAGTCATTTCAGTCCCCATAAAATATATATTTTCAATCAGCATCACCATCTGATGGTGATAGGGATGGGATGGCTTTCATTCGTACAAAGTAAAGTTTTCTGATCGCGGTCAACTTGGTGGCCGCCAAAGCGATCTCTGTCTTCGAATGATTGCAAGTTGACACACAGCCTCCTCGTGGCGCCTCCTGGGTAGCTATTTTAGCATCCGCTAGATAGTGAGCTAATGTGTGCAACGTCACCCGGACGTTAAACGGTTGAGCGCAGGGTTTGGAACCCGCCTCGTAAAAAAGAAGCCCAGTGAAGACCAAAGCGAAAGCCTCGGATAAGACCCCCCTATGTTGACGACCACCGCAAAATGAAAAAGGACTACGATTTGAGGATATGCACCTGAAATGTCCGAACCCTTAATTGGGAAGATGCCTCTAACCAACTGGCGGATGCCCTCGAAAAATTAAAGGGTGACATTACCGCCATCCAGGAAATGAGATGGACAGGACAAGGTTGCTCCAAGAGAGCAAACTGCGATATCTAATACAGCTGCCATGCGGAGAGGCGCGAATTGGGATGCGGATATGTAGTAAGCCGGAGACTTCGTTACCACGTCTCCAATTTCATCCCAGTGAGTGAACGGCTGGCTACAATCCGCGTCAAAGCTAGGTTTTTCAATCTAAGCATAATTTGCGCGCACGCCCCGATGGAGGAGAAGGACGATGCTGTTAAGGATCCAATCTACGCGAGACTCGAGTACAAATACGACCGCTGCCCAGACCACGACGTGAAGATCCTCAGGGACTTCAACGCAAAGGTTGCGCGCGAATGCATCTTTGACCCCACCGTCGGTCGTTTTAGCCTCCATGAGACCACCTCGAACAACGGTCTCAGGCTGATTGACTTCGCCGCGGCGCGAAACATGGTAGTGAATAGCACCAGATTTCGGCACCTCGACATCCACAAGGCCACATGGCTGTCCCCTGATCAAAAGACGCGCAACCAGATTGATCACGTTGTGATAGACGGAAGGCATGCCTCAAGCGTGATGGACGTGCGTACGTTTCGTGGAGTCAACATTGACTCGGACCACTCGGATCTTGTTGCAGCCAAGATACGCATGCGGCTATGCCGAGCGAAAAACATACGCCCTACCACGCAACGAAAGCTTGACGTCACTAGACTGCGATCACAACGGACAGCCATGGCCTACTCCACTCACCTCTCGGAATTGCTCCACCAACCTATCCCTCTCCCTGTTGACGCCGGCGCACTCTGGGCGCACATATCCCACTCCATGCGAGCTGCTGCTGGAACAACCATAGGGTTCAAGCGCCCATCCACACGGAACCAATGGTACGATGAGGAGTGTCGCGTCGCAGCTGCAGCAAAAAACGCCGCCCACAGAAAAACGCTGCAGTCTGGCGCAACGCGAGCTACGTGTGAACGTTACAGGGAGAAAAGGAAGGAAGAGCGGCGACTTTTCAGACGGAAAAAACGGGAGCAAGAAAGGCGAAAGTGCGAGGAACTTGAGGTGTTCTAGGACAGGAATGATGTTCGAAAATTCTACCAACAAGTCAACAGCCTGACACAAGGTTTCAAGACCGGAGCATCTAACTCTCGAGATGAAAATGGAAATCTGGTTAAGAAAGGTGACCCGACGATATGCGCCAACTACCGGGGAATCAGCCTCATTACCATCTCATACAAGGTCCTATCGAGCGTAATATGTGAACGACTGAAGCCGTATACCAGCACACTGATCGGACCTTATCAGTGCGGCTTCAGACCTGGTAAGTCCACCATACCCAGATCTTTACATTACGCCAAATCCTGGAAAAAAAAAACCACAAGAATAACATTGACACACACCATCTCTTTGTCGATTATGCTGAATTCGATAACCTGACGAAGGAACGCCTATATGCCACCATGTCTGAGTTCGGTATTCCCGCAAAGCTAATACGTCTTTGCAGAATGACATTGAGCAGCACCATCAGCTCTGTTAAGGTAGGAACGAACCTCTCCGAACCTTTAAATACCGTTCGAGGTTTCAGACAAGGCGACCCCGTGTCGTGCGACCTCTTCAATTTCGTGACGGAAGCGGTTCTGCGGAAAACCAGTGTACATCCATCTGGGACTATTTTTTATAAAAGTGTCCAGCTCCTTGCTTACGCCGATGATATCGAAATCATTGGCCGCAGCAAGCGTGATGTCACTGCTGCATTTTCCGTTATCGAAAAAGAGTCGGCAAAAGTGGGTTTGGCGGTAAACGAGGGCAAGACGAAGTATATGCTGTCCACAAGCAAAGAGGCGCGGCGCCTAGACTCACATGGGATAGCGCATAGCTATACCTTCGAAATGGTCAAGTAGTTCACGTACTTTGGCACTGCCATTAACCTAGAGATTAAGCGAAGAATCACATTTGCCAATAGGTGCTACTTTGGTCTAAGCAAATGTGCAACAGAGACCTCTCTCGCCGAACAAAATTGACAGTCTGCAAGACACTCATCTTACCCGTGCTTTTATATGGCGCAGAAGCATGGGTAATATCACTGACGGATGCAGCAGCGCTTGGAGTGTTCGAGAGAAAAATTCTTCGCAAGATCTTTGGTCCCGTTCGGATTGGGGACGACTTTCGAATTCGGATGAACCACGAGCTGTACGAGTTGTACGACGACATGGACGTGGTCCGGCGCATCACGATACAACGTCTGCGCTGGCTCGGCCACGTAGTGCGTATGGATGAAGAATCTCCAGCTCAGATGGGTTTTGAAGCGAGAGTCGACTACGGGCAACGGCGAAGGGGACGACCAAAGCTCCGATGGAAGGACCAAGTGGAGGAGAACCTGACTGCACTGGGTATTTCCGATTGGAAGATGCGCGCGAAGAGCAAAGGCGCCTGGAGGGAGATGCTGAGGTCGGCTAAAACCCGAATCGGGTTGTAGTGCCACCTAATAATAATGACATACACAATCTTTTTATACCCTCGCAGAGCAAAAGGGTATTATAATTTCAGTAAGAAGTTTGCAACGCAAGGAAGGAGACATCTCAGATCCCATAAAGTACACATATTTTCGATCAGCATCACCATCTGAATCGAAACACGTCTGTCCGTCTGTCCATCTGTCCTCCTGTCTGTTTCTACGCAAACTAGTCTCTCAGTTTTTAAGCTATCCTGCTAAAACTTTACTAAAAGTTGTGTAGTTATTGCACGCAGTATAAAAGGCGACTATATCGGATAGCTCCCATACGAGGGAATGAAATAAAAATCTCTTACTCCGTTATTTTTAATCACATCGACTAGATTTCTTCCAGATGGAGTTTTCCAACTACTATTGAATTTCGGATTAAATTTAATCAAAATCGGATAACTCTATCATGTAGCCGACATAGGAAAGATCGAAAAATATATACATATGTATATAAATAATGAAAAAAAAAATTATAACTTCGTTGTTTTTAATCCCACGAGAATGAATATGGAGTTTTACAATAACCCTTGATTAGAGAAACAAGGAAAGATTGAAAAATCGTTGTTTATTATCAAACAAGCATGATTTTTTTTATTTTTATTACGAATTAAATTTCATCAACATCGGACAAATATATCATATACCATAGCTGCAATACGGACAATAGTCGAAAATATGGATAATATAGATGTTGTTTAGCCTTTATGTATTTTTTTTGAGATATTTGATGACTGCAAGGGTATATAAGCTTCGGCTTGCCGAAGCTAGCTTCCTTTCTTTTTTTTTACTTAAATTAGAGTAATCTACGTCAGTCTAAAGCTTTTTTGAAGCCATATATTATACAAGCTTCAAGAGTTTTGACTTCATCTTACAATGTTGACATGGAGATATAATTGATCTACAACACCTTTGTAAGTGGGGGGTAAAAACTTTTGCAAAACAAGAAAGGAACCTAGTTTCGGCTATCCGAAATATGTCGAATAAGATACATAAATGTTAAAAAGCAAAGAAGCTATGTCAATTTTTCTATTGCGTTTCTATATTTTCGAAGATTATTAATATAACAGCTATGTGATATAGTCGTCCGATTTTAATGAATGTTAATTCAAAATTCGAGAGTTATTAAAAAACTCTAGATTCCAAAAAATTCCTTGACGGAGTGGGACCCCAGGTGGCACCAGCACCACTCAGGAGCGCAGCTTACATCAGGATCAACGATCGACTGTTCCAGTTCGGGAACGTGGGCAACCGGCAGGACCATCCCGGCCGGCTTGCCCACCCCCCGCGGCTGTACAGAAGACCAAGCCCGCCAATAAGGCAGATTTCCTTCCAGCCAGAGGACAACCAGGAGGCCTAGGCGACCCCAACAGGAAAGCCCTGTCGGGTTCCAAGGTCAAATGGTACCTCAGGTACCTTCAGCAGGGCATGACGCCTGATGAAGCTTTTTAAGAAGGCGAAAGAGCCACGACCAGTGGCACAAAACGTTGCCCCTGCCAGAAAGCGGGCAAATAGTACCCTCACACCTCTGATGGACACCCCGAAAAGGTCCAAGTCAGAGGGCATCAAAGAGGCAGCGGCACCTCCCCCCGCCCCCCAAGGCCTGATGAGCCAAGCACATCGAAGGCGACGGCTCTCACTGGCACACACACCTCCTACGCGGAGGCCGCCAAGAGAGTCAGAGTTGCGGTACTACCTGAGGTTGAGCTTGCCGAGCTGGAGGAGGCCATAATGGACGATGTAGTCACGTCTGAATGGAACTCAGCAGTCGCCTTCAGAGGTATCTACTTTAGGGTCGGATACCTCCTGATAGACTGCTTGAACCAGGACTCGGCGGACTGGCTGAGGGCTGGAACGCCTCAGCTAAGAACATGGAAGGGCGTGCCCCTT